AGCCATTGGTTTGGATGAATTCTTGTTGGCCTCTTCCTTGTGCCTAGTCACATACAATTTACCTTTTCATCTTTTGTATTTATAGTCTCTTACCACCAACTTGGCCTTTTAAGGTCATCAGTTTGGTCACCTTCTTTTCATCCTTATTATTGGACCTAATCTTACATGAGACATCATCTTTGCATTCACATTCTTAGCCTCATGTCATTCACTCAACGACCTATCAACAAGGTTATTTTATTCTCAACCTATTTTTATGACCAATTCTCTTGGATGTTTGATTCTATAAATTTCCCTTTCAAGCCTCATACCATTGGTTTGACATCTTAGTGTCTTTAGCTTAATTTTCTTAAAGTTGGTCTCTTACTAAGACTTATTCATATATAAGTTCCCTTCATGTATTTCAACTTCATAACACTTTACTATTCAACCTAATATCATAAAATTGTTAGCTTGAATGCCTTCTTATTGACCTCTTTTTGGGGCATAATCTCATGGATGTACCTTTTCACCTTTGTCCATCTTAGCCTTCTATTGTTGGCTTAAGCTTCTAGATTCATTGACTTTAACTTCTTCTTCTTGGTTTCTTTATGAAGCCAATCCTATGGAAGTTGACTTCTCAACTTTCACCATCATAACTTTCTATTATTAACTCATATTCTTGAATCATTAGCTTAGTTGCCTTTTTTGTTGACCTTTCATTGGGACCCAATCTCATGGAAGTTGCCTTCTTAGCTTTCACTTTCTTAAGGTTCACTTTCTTAGCTTTATCTTCCCAACATTTTATCATCATTTTAACATCCTAGATTCTTTTGCATTTATTGCCTTTTGGGTTGTCTCTTCATGGAACCTAATCTTGTAGAAGCTGCTTTCTCAAATTTTATATTTTAGTCTTCTATTGTTACCTCAAAATTGTAGATTCATCATCTTATCCTCTTTCTTTGCATCATTTTCTTTATACATAATATTGTGAAATTGGCTTTCTTGATTTTTGTCTTCCTAAACTTTTATTATTGGCTAAAGATCCTAGAGTACATAGCTTCGCCACTTTCTTATTGGCCTCTTCCTAAGCACTAGTCCAATGGAAGTCACCTTCTTAACTTTGGCTTTTAGAATTTCCAATCATTGGCTCAACATCCAAAAGTCATCCTCTTGGTCTCCCTCTTTTTAACCACTTTTTAAGCTCCAATCCCATATAAGTCCCCTTCTCGATACTCAGTTGCTTGACTTCCTACCGTTGGCTCACCATTTTAGAATCATTAACTTTGTCACGCTCTTCTAATAGTCTTCATGGGACTCAATCACATAGAAGTCACATTCTTGGCATTTGCCTTCAAAGGCTCTATTATTGGTTTAGCATTATAGAATTATTCTCTTGGGCTTCTTTTAGTGGCCTTTTCTCATGACTTTATCTTATTAAAGCCGCCTTCTTAGCACTCACTTTATTAACCTCCATTCATTTGTTTGACACCCTATATTTCGTCATGGCCTATTCTATCTCACCTTGTTCTTGAAAGTCTTCTTAAAAAATCAAACCATTAACATGGAATTCGCATGGAACTCCTCAATATTAATGAGTTCTTATAAGAATTGTTGTCATCACATGCTCATATAATGATAGCATGTTACTATGTTAGGTTTTGGCCATTCCCTACCACCTTTCTTGATTTAGGCTGTGATTAACATAAATTCGGTTAAATCCATCCTTGGGTCACCTGCTTGCATAAAAAGGAAAATATTATCTTAGCAAGTATGGTGTATCATCGATTTTTATTTTCCCTTACCCAATCTTCTTTTATACACTTGAAAAAAGGCCAAGAAATTAAAAGTTTGATACATTTCTCCTTATTTCTCTCGTGTAAAAGCCATTTTTAGGCTAAGGGCAACTCTTTTTCTATTGAGCTTTAAACTCCACCCATATCCCTTAACTATCAACTCTACACAGGGATGAGGAGCCTTTTATGATCTCTAAGACATCCATCCTTTCTTCTTCCCTCACTCTTCATTGGGTTGAGGAATAGAAGAGCAAACATTGGAATTTCAATATGTTAAACTCTAAAATCAATTTGAAATTTATTCAAAACTTAATCCGAATCATGTTTCAATCAATTTTATTTTTTAGTGGACTTCAAAAAGTAGTTCATAAATACAAGATGTGTAATTTTACAGTAAATAAACTATAAGACTTATTTATCTAAAAAAGTTAAAAAGATATATCTAAAAAATCATTAAAAAATTATCTTGATCAGGTACTAATCTCGAGGTAAAATCAGGTCGGAAGCTTCAAAAATTAAATCTGGGATAATTTGAACTCCAATTTCTGCTAACCTATAATCGAACTTAGCATATCAAAAATATGAACCCAACTACATCAAATTCAACTCAATCCGAGCCCAAATGGGTCCAAATCAAAGACCCGAAACACATTTGGAAGGTTTAATCCATAATTTGGATTACCAAACAGTTTCCAAATATGACATGCTTATAGTTGAATCGAGCGGCTTGACGATGCAAATCCAACGAGCTCAAGACTGTCGAATTCCAATATCATTAAGACCTTCAAATGTATGATGAACGGTCCATGATTAAGGGATTCAATATCAGCCGTCCATCCAAACCACTCCACATTTGCCCTTGATCTTCCTCCTATTTACGGGTTATGCCGCTCTCAGAAAACTATAAATATCCCCTCATTTCTTTTAAGAAGGGACCGAAGGAGGGGGAAGGAAGAAGAAGAGAAGAGAAGAAGAGAAGGAGGAAAGAAGCTCCTCCTCGACCGCCGCTAGAGTTCTGTCCAACTTTCAAGTGATGCCAATGTTCCGCCCAACTTTTAAGTAACATCGGAGTTCCGCCCAACTTTCAAGTGATGCCGGAGTTCCGACCGACTTTCAAGTGACGCCGGAGTTTCGCCCAAATTTGAAGTGACGTAGGAGTTCTGCCCGACTCCCAAGTGACGCCAAAACTCCCCTCGATCTCCAAGCGATGCTGAAACTTCGCTCGATCTCCAAGTGACGCCGAACTCCTCTTGATCTCCAAGTGATGCCGGAATTATGTCCGATCTCCAAGTGACTTTAGAGTTTTGCCCGAATACCATCTAATGCTGGAGTTCTCCCCAGCTGCCGACTAACGTCGGACTTCTACTCGACGTCAGACCTCCGCTCGTCGTTAGATTTCTACCCAATGCCGGACTTCTGTCAGACATCGGACTTTCATCAGACATCTATTCAATGCTGGAATTTTGTCCATTACTAGACTTCTACCTAACGATGTCCTTCTAACATTCGTCATCATACAACGGTCCTTCCGACCTCCATCCCCTGTCAACTATGATCCTTCTAACTTACGTCACCCATCAAATATGTCATTCCGACCAAACGAACACATCAACAATGATTCTTTGTATTCCCACCATGTAATGTACTCTATATAATGTACATCAAGCTAAGGCCTTCCCCCTAAGGAAGGGCCTCATTTGTAATTGATTGTAAATAATTGTGGATTCATTCAAACTGGGCTAGACCCAGTGTTTTTTTCCCCTTTTCAGGGATTGGAGGACTTAATTGACCTCTTCCTGAGCACTGGTCCAATGGAAGTCACCTTCTTAACTTTGGCTTTTAGAATATCCAATCATTGGCTCAACATCCAAAAGTCATCTTCTTTGTTTCCCTTTTTTTATTCACTTTTAAGCACCAATCCCATAGAAGTCCCTTTCTCGATACTTAATTGCTTGACTTCCTACCGTTTGCTCACCATTTTAGAATCATTAACTTTGTAAAGCTTTTCCAATAGTCTTCATGGGACTCAATCACATAGAAGTCACGTTCTTGGCATTTGCCTTCAGAGGCTCTACTATTGGCTTAGCATTATAGAGTTATTCTCTTGGACTTCTTATAGTGGTCTTTTCTCATGACTTCATCTTATTAAAGCTGCATACTTAGCACTCACTTTATTAGCCTCCATTCATTAGTTTGACACCCTATATTTTGTCATGGCTTATTCTATCTCACATTGTTCTTTAAAGCCTTCTTAAAAAATCAAGCCATTAGCATGGAATTTGCATTGTGCTCCTCAACAATTTGAGTTCTTATGAGAATTGTTGTCATCACATACTCGTATAATGATAGCATGTTACTGTGTTAGTTGTCGACCATTCCCAACCACCTTTCTTGATTTATATTGTGATTAGTACAAATTCTTTTAAATCCATCCTTGGGTCCCCTGCTTGCATAAAAAGAAAAATACTATCTCAGCAAGTATGTAGTATCATCAATTTTCATTTTCCCTCACCCAATCTTCTTTTATACACTAAAAAGAGGTCGAGAAATTTAAAGTTCGATACATTTCTCCTTATTTCTCTTGTCTAAAAGCCACTTTTAGTTAGAGGGCAACTCTTTTTCTATTGAGCTTTAAGCTCCACCCGTATCCCTTAACTATCAACTCTACACAGAGCTAAGGAGCCTTTTATGATCTCTAAGGCTTCCATCCTTTCTTCTTTGATCACTCACCCTTCATTGGGTTGAGGAATAGAAGAACAAACATTGGAATTCCAATATATAATACTCTTATATCAATTTGAAATTTATTCAAAATTTAATATGAACCTTGTTTCAATCAATTTTATTTTTTAGTGGACTTCAATAAGTATACAAGACGTGTAATTTTACAATAAATATACTTTAAGACTTATTTAACTAAAGAAAGTTAAGAAGATATATCTCAAATTATATGTATTATAAAACATATATATTGACTTCATATTAAATATGATTATACAAATGTAATGCTTATTATTTTATACCAACAAAATATTTTTCACATAAAATTATAACGCTGAGTCTTTTAACTTTTAAGCATATTTAGTATAAAATATTTTTTTTAGAATAATTAAACAGAAAATAAGAGGCAGTCTATAATGATGCGGTAGAATTTCTTCTTTTTTTTCTTGGAAAGTGAGTGGAGTTAAATGTTCATCATAGTTTGACAAGAAAAAACTCCATTAGTGGGATTAAGATGCACGCTTATAAATTTGTAGCAGAGTTCTCCTGAAAAAGTACTTCCTTTCTATGAACTCCGATAAAATAATTCCTTTCTACTCTTCAGATCAACTTAGGGTAGGCGGCTTGGAACTTAATAACGATCTCTTTCTTCCCTGTTAGTTGATATCGAAGTTAAAGCTTTATCCTTTCTGTACTTTGAAGAAAGATTCATATCGGAAGGACCTCATTCTGCATGGTTTTCTCATTCCTGTGGGTTGCTCGACCTTGGCTTCTCCCTGTTTCTGAGCCTTTGTTGTAAACAAAACCAAATTCTTTCTCTGCACCGTCGATTCCTTGCGGGGATTCATCAAACTCATCCAACGCCTTTCTCCACCAGCTTTCGTCAATTCCTAATTTGTCTCAACAGAAGATTAAAGCCCAAGTCCGCTTCTTTTTCTGCTATCATCTTCATTTCTCCACTTCAAATAGCAAGAAGAAAAGTGACGTTTTTGATAAGAAAGAGAAAAGAAACCCATTTCTCTGTATTTACGATTCGGTCGATCCATTTTGGTTCAAGTTTTGTCTCCAAAATGGTGTTCAGGTCATACACCAATCTCCTTGAGCTCGCCTCAGGGGAGTCCTCCTCCTTGGGATGGTTCCCACGCCGAATTCCTCGCGTGGTCACTACCTCCGGCATTGTTCCTGACCTCGATTCCGCCTCGTCTTCCCTTTCCTCCTCCCCCGAACCCCGCGAGCGCACCATCATCGTCGCCAACCAGCTCCCTATCCGCTCTCAACGCCTTCATGGCAGCGGCGGATGGACCTTCACCTGGGACGAAACCTCCCTTCCTCTCCAGCTCAAGGGCACCACAGTGGACCTCTCCAGCATGGAGTTCGTCTATGTAGGCTGCCTCCGCGAAGAAATCCCCCTTTCTGAACAGGATGAAGTTTCTCAGACCCTCTTCGAGACATTCAAGTGCGTGCCCACATTCATTCCACCTGATCTCTTGTCAAGATTCTATCTTGGCTTCTGTAAGCAGTATCTATGGCCTCTTTTCCATTACATGCTTCCTCTCTCAGCAGAGCTTGGAGGCCGATTCGATCGTTCTCTGTGGCAGGCTTACGTCTCTGCTAACAAAATTTTTGCTGATAAGATCCTTGAAGTCATCAATCCAGATGATGATTTTGTTTGGGTTCATGACTATCATCTTATGATACTCCCCACCTTTCTCAGGAAGAGGTTTAATAGAGTCAAGCTGGGATTTTTCCTTCATAGCCCCTTTCCCTCGTCTGAGATTTACAAGTCTTTGCCTGTAAGAGATGAGATTCTAAGGTCTCTGCTCAATGCTGATCTGATTGGATTCCATACATTTGATTATGCCCACCATTTCTTATCTTGTTGTAGCCGGATGCTTGGGCTTAGCTATGAATCAAAACGGGGCTATATTGGACTGGAGTACTATGGTCGGACTGTAAGTATCAAAATTCTTCCTGTTGGGATTCATATGGGTCAACTAAAATCAGTGTTGTGCTTACCTGAGACCGAGGCGAAAGTCTTAGATCTGGTTAAGCAGTTCTCGGGTCAGGGTAGGACAATGCTGCTCGGGGTCGACGACATGGACATCTTCAAAGGGATCAGTTTGAAGCTTCTGGCCTTTGAGCAGCTTCTATTGCAGCATCCTGAGTGTAGGGGGAAGGTGGTGTTGGTTCAGATTGCGAATCCAGCGAGAGGGAAAGGGAAGGATGTCAAGGAAGTTCAAAGTGAAAGCAATGCCATGGTGAAAAGGATCAATGAAACTTTTGGGTATTTGGGCTATGAGCCTGTGGTCATGATTGATAAACTATTGCAGTTCCATGAGAGAGTGGCATACTATGTGGTTGCTGAGTGTTGCTTAGTGACTGCAGTGAGGGATGGGATGAATCTAATACCTTATGAGTACATAATATCGCGGCAAGGAAATGAGAGCTTGGATATAGCATTGGATTTAAGCTCTTCAACACCGAAGAAGAGCGTTTTGGTTGTGTCAGAGTTTATTGGTTGCTCGCCATCTTTGAGCGGAGCTATTCGAGTAAATCCATGGAATATTGATGCTGTTGCAGATGCCATGGACTCAGCTTTGCGGATGCCAGAGCCAGAAAAGCAATTAAGGCATGAGAAACACTATAGATATGTGAGTACACATGATGTTGGCTATTGGGCAAACAGTTTTCTACAGGATTTAGAGAGAAGCTGCAGGGATCATATAAGGAGGAGGTGTTGGGGAATTGGTTTTGGGCTGGGATTTAGAGTAGTTTCTCTAAATGCAAACTTCAAAAAGCTTTCTTTGGAGTATATAGTATCTGCATACAGGAGAACTGAAACCAGAGCTATCCTTCTAGATTATGATGGTACTCTAATGCCTCAAGCTTCCATTGATAAAAGCCCAAGCCAACAGTCGATTGAGATTTTGAATAGCCTTTGCTGCGACAAAAACAACGTCGTCTTTCTCGTCAGTGCTCGCAGTCGTAACAGTCTGAATGACTGGTTCTCTCCCTGTGAAAATCTTGGCGTTGCGGCTGAGCATAGCTACTTCTTAAGGTATGATAAATTTGGAATCTTCTTAAGTTTTCATGTAGATGAAAGCAAGGAAATATGTTCATGTTTGCTATTTCAGGCTAAAGAGAGACGCAGAGTGGCAGAAGTGTATTCCCGCAGCTGATTTCAGCTGGAAGCAAATCGCTGAGCCAGTGATGAAGCTCTACACTGAGACCACTGATGGCTCCTTCATCGAAGACAAGGAGACCTCGTTGGTTTGGTGTTACGAAGATGCCGACCACGATTTCGGGGCTTGTCAAGCTAAGGAGCTCTTCAATCATCTTGAGAGTGTTCTTTCAAATGAGCCAGTCTCCGTGAAGAGTGGTTCCAACAAAGTTGAAGTCAAGCCTCAGGTCAGTAACAGTAACCAGTTTTGCTTCATGACTTGGACAAAAATTCTAGTTTGAATATACGTTACTCATACTAAAATTACCTTGTCAGGGTGTGAGCAAGGGCCTGGTTGCTCAGAGGTTGATTTCAACCATGAGGGAGAGAGAACTTCTTCCAGATTTTGTTCTTTGTATTGGCGACGATCGCTCTGATGAAGACATGTTTGAAGTGATAACCAGCGCAGTAAATGGTCCTTCATTGTCACCTTCAGCTGAGGTCTTTGCATGCACTGTTTGTCAGAAACCCAGCAAGGCAAAGTACTATTTAGATGACACTGCTGAGATTGTGAGGCTGCTTCAAGGCTTAGCTTCTGTGTCGGAGCAATCTTTGGGAACTTTCGTTCCTTCTGCAGTAGAACAAAGTTCCCTGGCCTTGCCTACAGGCTAGAAGGCAAAGTTGAATGTTCAAGCTGGAGGTTTTTTTTGCCCTTTTGAGTGCATTACACCATGGTTTTACACCTCGTATCTTTGTTTAGTTAGGTGAGGTTTCTATCTCATGAAGGAAGGTATGTTTTTGGCTTTCCATATAAACAAAGTGTACATGTGGTTTATTGATCAATCATGTTCCTTTGTTATCCTTGGAAATGTGACGATTATAAGCTTTAGTTTTCTTTACTAGAAGATATGCATAACGGTTTGTGTAAATATGTTCTTAAGCACTCAAGTTAGAGTAGTATTGTTTTGTGAAATACTTCGCATTAGAGCTTAAGGCTTCATTTCGGGCAACTATCTTGCTACTTTCTAAAACAGCTTTTTAGTATAAAATTTTATTTAAAAAAAAAAAAAAACTAAAAAACTTCTTTATAAAATAATACAAAAGCTGTTCTAAACGAAGTCTAAGGCTTTGTTTGGGACTGCTTTTTTATTGCTTCTGGAAATAGTGTTTAAGTTTAAAAATTAAAATTTTTATACTAAAACACTGCTGTTTTAAGAAGCAGTAAGAAAGCCGTCCCAAATGAAGCCCAAGTCAGGGGCTCTATTATGCATTGAGTAGTTTGAAGTTTCTTTCGGTTGAGACAAACATTGAAGGGAAGATGAATCTTGCTGAGGTTTGATTTTTTTGCTGGACTTTTTGACTCTAGAGTTGCATTATTCTCTCTTTAGCATCTTTAACAGCAGAGTTGAAACTATCTTTTTGAACTAGTGCATGTTTAATACCTAATTGATAAGGAAAGAACAATCTCCATTTCCTTATATATGCTAGAGCTGCTCAAGAATTATTCTTTATAATTATAAAAAATTAAATTGAAGGGGTTTAGAAATGCTATCAATGAGCTTAATTATAATTCAATAAAAACACTAAGCTCTTAGTTCACTATAGGGTTTTGATTATCAAGATTTTATAGCTAGCTAGAGGGGATCCTCAGTATAAAACACCCTCTTAAAATTCAGGAAAAATATATTTCGAGCTAATTTGCTGATGTTGGGTCTAACCATTGTAAAATCATAACTAGAGAAAATTCTATCTAAATGAAGCACCACTTTTAAAATATAAAAGATAGAAAAAAAAACTAAAAGCCTAAGCAATAATCGGTCACATCATACTCAAAACAACCATCCATCAATTTTCTGAATTAGTATGCTAGGAATGACATATTTTTGAATTGAAGGTCATAAATGTTCAATATCATTTTTTATTGTATCCATATGTTTATACTAAAAAATCTCTTACTAACAAAGGATTGATTCCTAATTGGCTGGTTGATTAATTGCTGACTGGGTTGAAATGTTGATTGATTGCATATGGTTAAATGTAAGTGGAGATGATTGAATGTTTGAAGTTATGATTGATTGTTTGAAGTGATTGAAGATGAGTGATTTTGATTGATTGATTGATTGAGGACTAAATGAATGTATAGATGATTGAAGTGTAGGTTGTTGATTGATTTGGTGTTGATTGTAGAGGTGATTGTAGACTGTGATTAAAGTGTATGATCGATATGTAGGTTAATTGAATGTAGATTTATTGATGGCTAATTGAAAATCGGATGGTTGACTGTTGAATGATTGTCAACCACCAAACGGATGATCAGGAGCATTGGGTATTTCAAGATGATGACATCATACAAAAATGAGATCAACATCATAGGATAGAGATAATTTTATAATTTAGTGTTTAAACTTCAACAAACAATTACTTTAATATTTCAATGCATAGATCCTCCAAACTTCATGGATTGAAAGATTAGGGCACCATGAAGCTATGTTTCAAATTTTGTTGAATTTGGAGCATCCTACACAAAGTTATGAACATTTAAAATTTTAGTTCATTTTCAACTAAAATCCCTAGATTGATTTGGACCATCCAATCACACAATTAGATGGCCTGAATTAAACCAAGCAATGTGTGTCATGCTTGGGTTTTCAACCCGCACCTCTTGTGGGCTACCCGCGCTTGGGTGGACGATCCTATTCATTAGCTCCAAAGCAAGTCGATTTGATGGCCACTGAGCCCTGCCTACTCTTTTAAGTGGCTTCTAAGGGGTCGACATGCATCCAACCACTGGCTGAAATTTCAAATAAATGCCAAAAATATCCAAAAATGCACAAAACATAAAAAAAATCATAAAAAATCTACTTCTCAATCAAAGTTGACATTCTTGGGCTCATTGGAAATGTCTTGAGCCTAATTTTATTTTAAAATTAATTTTAAGTAATTTTGACCACTAGATTGTGAGTAATTTAATTTTAAATATAAATTAATTTTCTTGATTACTTGCAGATTAGTGGTCAATTTGAGCACAAATTTGGACATGGCATAATAGGGTGAGTACCCTACATACCCTAATTTCTCTGGGCCTTGGTGATATCTGGATTCTGGTGAATTGAAATTTTAAAGTTCTGGATCAAATTTTGATCCAAAACTTTAGAAATTCATAACTTATACATGACTTAGAATTAGGTCTTGATTTTTTTCATGGTTTGTATGCATTACTGTAAGGGTTAGAATGCTTGTGATTTCACCCAAGTCAAAATAGTAGAAATCCCAAATTGACTTCTCAAAGTTATAGATGTATTTACCTTTGGGGTCATTTATAAAACCTAGAGAGATTTTGATGACTTTAAATTTTATAGGTTTGAAGTACATGATTTGGTGAACATGTATTTCGATTATAGATTAAATATGCTAAACTTGTATATAATTAATTATAAAAAAATTCAAATGACCCAAACTCAAAGACATTGGACTCATCTCTGGGTTTCGTATTTTTGAAAAATAAAAAACTTCCAAAATTTAAAGTAAATTATAAAAAGTAATAATTTGGTCAAATCCCCTTATTAAATAATTAAAAAAATTCATAAATTCAATAAAATCTGGAAAATTCAAAATTTTACTCACTGAACTAAATAAAATTCACAATAATAATAACCAAACATAAATATTACTCCCTTCATAATTAATGTTTTTAGGCTAGACTATCTCGAGCTATGGGCTACATATCCTAAGAGGCCCTAGGTCCTCGTGCCTTTGTGACAACGTTATGAATGAATTAATGAAATAAAGTTATTAAAATACAAAACTTAAATCAATAATCAATGAATCATACTTAACTAAAAATCAACACTCCATCAATGAAGTTTTTAGGCTAGATTATCTCGAGTTGTAAGGCTACATGTCCTAAGGAGACCTTGGTCGTCTTGCTTGTTGTGACAACACCATAAATGAGGTGACAGAATGTTAACATTAAATTATAAATATCATAAATTAGTAACCAATAAATTAAATTAATTAAAAGTCATCTATAATAATCAAACTTAAAATAAATAGGTATTTGTTGGATAATCTAGGCTTACAAGGCTATTAGTGTTGCCTCAAGGAGGGTGAAATAAGCTTCATAGCCCTAGCGTAAACAAAGACAACTACTGTTCAACTTAAATAATCATTACATTTAGCAATAAAATACTTAATCATGCGAGGCTTTCATACACCTTGCTTGACTCCTTTCATAAAGACAACCTTGTATTGGATTGAGGGCTTTAAATGGCTAATCAAAATACCTTAAACAACCAATCATTAACCACCTTCAACAATTGAATTCTATCCTAAATTAAATCTCAAAACATAAAAAAATACTAAAACTTAAACATAAACTAAAATTTCCTTAGCCTTTAACAAACCAAATTCAACCCTTAAAAATGTCAAATAATAACAAACTTAGAATATATCCAAGTCACACAGTCTATTACACACACCGTATATGATTTGCTAGGATAACCAACTCTAAATTTAGGATAGATCATTATTACTTTTATGTGCTTTCTCTCTGTGATGTGTATTGATGTGGACTTGTATATGAATAAGTGCTAGTTATTATAGTTTGATGTGGTGAATTATGTGATGTCTATGTTATATGATGTTTATACCATATTATTTATGATGTAATATGTGATGGGAGTTTAGATTTTCTTAGGTTGGGGACTATCTTGATATTTATTACTAATCAAATTTTCTGTAGATGGATATGCATATGTAGAGCTATTGAAAGGGAGCTAAAATTAATCAAGATTTTAAAATAATGGGATTTTCTACAGGTATTTTTTGTTGCTTAGCCCCCTAATTATTAAAGGCATGTCCATCTATAGGTTGCTAATAAATGAGCAAAGTGATTGTGATTATGATTGTAGCTTTTGATTATTTAAGTATATTCAAATGTTTCACTAACATGCAAGGAGTTTTGAGTCAATTTCTTTTTAAAATGTAATTTTGTAAATAATAAATTTATAAAAATTATAAATAAGGCATTTTTTCAAAAGAGTAGGGATCCAAAGAGAAAATAAACATCATTCGTTGGAGAGTTCTTTTCACTTGGATATCTTATTAGATGAACATGCAAGGAGCCTGAAGAAAAGAACCGTGTTGAAGAAAAATCAAAAACTAAAAGAAAAAATTGCATTATTTTAAGATTTATGTCACTAAGGAGGAGTAAAATCTAGGTTGCTAATAGTAGAACCTAGACACCTTTACTTTCAGAAAACCCTCAATTATAATTAAGTGGCATTTTGCCACATAGGCTCTTTCTATTCAACAATTTGTTTAATGGTTGTTTAAATTGATTGTGCGGTACAAATTGCTTATTTTTATAGGTTTTTTATGTACTTTTTTCTTGGATTTTGATTAGGCTCTTAGAAATAAAAAATCTTCAACTCAGTATTTAAAAATAAAATTTTAGGAATAAACAATATAGAAAGATAATTGCTCTAAGAAAGCAAACCGGAGACCATCTGGGATTGCATGCATATTTTCATACTTTTATCCTTGTTGTAGACACTTCCCTACTTGAGGGTAAAGTTTAAATAATCCGACCTATGAGGATGATGTGTTTAATCTAGGGAAGCATAGTCTTCTCAAAAATTATTTTTAAAGCCTTCTTCAAAAACTTTAAGCATTCATGCTTTGTGATATTCCAACTAACATGCATTGTATTAGAAATAAAATTAAATTAAAATTTAATTGCAACAGTTTTATAAGCCTACTACCATTTATAAGTAATGGGACACTTAGAATTTTCTATAGATGTCAGCCCTAAAATTATTTCAAAAAATATCATTTTGACCTCTTAGGGTGATATGTTACAATTGTTGTG